GTGTATTCAGAGACTGGTAATAATTATGTTTTTTTCAGCAGCGTTCTGGCAGGCTACGAATGCGTGAATTGCAAATAGAAGATAGTTACCGTGGAAAAGCTGCCAATTCAACCGCAACGCCAAATACGGTTATACATAGTTTGGATGAGGGCAGCTATTGGGGCAAAGTTTCACCCACAACGCATGCCGCCTTACATCGGATTTTCTAAGTGGGGAACTCAGTGTTTTCAAACACTCGATGAGACTTCGTTGTTGACGCCCCCTTGGGATTGAAAGACGTGACTAAAATCTAACAAGGAAAGGCGCCGAATATTTTAACCCTAACCCCCTAGGGTGTATGTAAAATCATATTGAAATCGGAGGATTTGGGACTGTTAGGGTTAAGAGAGGGATGACTTGCATATAGACCGATGGAATATACCCTGCCTGGACGAGGTATATCTTATCTCACCATTGCTCATAGAAAAGAAACTAGACACACAAAAACAGACATAGTCCCAATTATTGGTCGGTGTGAACGCTATTTTTCAGGTATAGACACGTAGCTGATTCGTTCCTCTTAGCAATGGCCTGCCTTTTTGTTTTCCAAGTAGGCACAGGGATCATATAATAGTTTTTAATTTTCTCTCGGTTCGAAGCTTCTCAATCGGCAGGTGAGTGCGGTACTTCAATAAACTTGTCTCTGTGGCAGGAGGTAATGCCTTCTGCCGGGGGAATCCTTGGAAAACTGTTTTCATCTGAAACAGAATCATGTCTTCCACTGTTTTGTATGATCTGCGAAAGTCTGAAGATTGTGTGCTGTCATTTTTAGATTACAAGTATTCAATTGAAAAGCATGGTAGCTACGACGGAGGTATTGTCAAAGCTTTAGTTATTAACTTGATGAAAAGAGGCATGAATCGTGATAAAATAAAAAAAAAAGTCTCTTTTAGTAGAAACATTTCATTTTCAGCAACAGACGGGAAAAGGTATTGCGTCCTCGCTGTGTGGTTTCATAAAAAATTTACCCTACGTTGAGCCACACCCATGGGCGTAAATCCTGGGGCCTTGGGGCATATATCCCCCCACTTTTTGAGATGGGGGGTGGGCTATTGAATCACCCCCCCCTCCACCACCACTTTTTTGGGATGAGCAAAAAATTTAAGCGGACTGTGAAGAATTTACCGGATTTCCCAACGACTAAAATGTTTGCAATATCACTAAAAAGGAAACGCAATTTTTAAAATCCATAATATGCCATTCTTATACATTACAGACTGTGCATATTTATCATGAACATCGCTCCCTGTACAGTTTATATGGTGTCCCCCCCCTTTTTCAAATTTCCATGGCTGGGCAAGTCATCCCCACTTTTCCCCATCCCCCACCCCCAATTTCCAACACAGATTTACGCCACTGGCCACACTGAACGTCAGCATAGCCTTTAGAGTCAAACACACGGTTCATACATTGATCAAACATGCAGAGACCAAAGCTATAATAATTCCATTCTGAAAGAAGGTTTCTATGCCTGTAGGACATACCAGTAGAATTACACATTTTAATTTTCGAAAGACTTGTCAGTCTTCACTTAGATTTTCAAGGAGAACCCGAGCGTGAAACCTTGCCTGGGAGCAAGTATCAAATGAGTTTCTATTATGTTCTTTGGGTGAATATTATGCTGTCCTTTGTTCACAACATGAATAACCTTGTCTTACGGCGCCACTCAATACCTCGTCATGTTGGAACTGTCCTTCCCATTTTTGTCTACCTGCATATTTAATTTGCTTTTTATTACTCCTCAGACTACACAAAGGAACTTACATTTTTTTTGAAACCCACAGCCATGATAAATAATTCAACTTAATAGTGTGTGCATCATTCCAAGAATATTATGCCATTTTCCATTGCTTTTAACGCTTGTGTAGGACTGTAAATTACCTATCTGTAGCCCCTCCACATTCAGACAAATCATAAACGGGAGTTTACTGTCCAATGTAATGGAAGTTTGATTTCAAAACTCAATATACCTTGTAGCCGTCATGAGTAAAGACTGCAAAACTATCACAGATATGAATCCACACTTGCATGAGAAACGCCCAAATGTTTTCATAAGTTTGCTGTCACCTTTCTTTTGTATTGGGAACAGTATTAACAAGAGTTATTTGATAAGGTAGTGTGGGGTCAAAGTTCAATTATTTAACGTAACTCATTCTGCGCAGAGCACTTGAAAAGTCACGTTCTTGTGGCTGACCTCAGGTTGTCACGTCACTGCAAAAGCAAGAACGTCGGCTATTTTTATTAACCAATAAAAATAAAAGATAATGATAATGAAAGCTCGTGTGGATGATACATAGGACTGATCTTCTTCTAAGATCCATAATCATTTGTTTGCCATTAGTACAGGGGAAGCTTTCAGCTCTTTGATACGTGCTCACTGATTGACTAAACCATAGAGAAACTGTGTCCTTTCTCTGTGACTACACTCTTGTTCATCAGTATTCAAAAAATCCAGTGGCCTCTGGAAACAAATAGAGAGGTTTTGTGTTGCAAATATTTTGGCGTGCATCCTCAGAAAGAACACCACAAGGGAAATCTCGCTCTTTGGTCTGACGTGCTTCTTCTCTCCATCTGTTTTCGAAATTTTGTGATATTCAATTTCCTTAGGGTCGTGGTCATCAGTTATAATGAGACGCAGGCCAGACAAACAATGTTCATTGCTGACATCAAAGGTGGCACGACATTGGTAACTGATTGTTGGCTGGTAAAAGAAAAGAAATGAGCATACTATAATGAACAAAACAAAACAGCCAAAGTAGTAAACAAAAATTGAATAAACGTTAATGTATAGAGCTATTCATATAAAATAATGACTTCCTACCCAATGTCCTTGTCACAACACAATCGATTGTTTGTGAATAAATCTCTTGTGATCTCTTCCCTTATAGACGGTCTCCAACTTGACAATATTACGGTATTTAGTCACACGGAAAAAATATCCACAGTCTCTGACCGGTGGTAATGAGCAATTTCCTGTGAAGATGTCTTTGAAACACTGGACCCGAACGTAGAATCGAGCCATGATCGAACTTTGTTCCTAACGACGGCCTCAGGCCAATTAAGCATAATTGCTCTTAATTATCTCGGGTATTTGCTGGTCGATTCCTACGTTGGAAACGCGTTTTGTGCATTTCCCACCGTTTTCATGTTCTTTGTTCAGTCCGTTGACATTGCTGTACACCCTTGTTCGTCTTTAACGTATTTAATATTTCTCGTCATTTGTGAAATAAATTGTGGCCACAGTGAGATTTGGAGACCCTCCTTTCGTGAGCCGTGTTACAATTTAAGGATAAATAAACAAAAACAAAACCAAAAACCGAAATGATCCGAAAATCAGGAAACACAGGATATTATTATTACAGTTTAGGGTTCATCACACCGGGTTTTTGTTTTGTTTGTTTGTTTGGTTTTTTTTACCACACACGACGGGGAGAGATAGGCCCTACATGAATAATCGGTGTCGCCCTCATTTTAGTTAAAATGTTACCAATTGTTTTGACTGGGTAACCTAAGTTAGAGTAACTATGTTAGCAACCTTTTGTGTGTACAGTTCCTACTAGTGAAATCTATCATTTCTTTGACAGTTAAGAGCTTTATATACGTAGCCATTATTTCTAACAAATTTTTGCCCGGTCGATTGTTATCTATGCGCTTGAATGTCGCCAGTACACACTGAGCCAGTAGGGAATTTAAGAAGAAAGGTGCCAGTAACCAATACATAATGTCATTTGTTAGAGTGTTAATATCATTAACCTGCAACGTAATGCCACAAATGTCAGTACAGACAGTCATTGCTCCCTCGAAATATTCCCCGTCTACCAGTCTACTGAATACTGGCTTGCGTCCAAGAACCTTGGTTTTAACCTAAGGCTTGTTCACACCGAGAATGACGAATTTATTTCGAATTATTAAAAACTATGCAGTGCCAGCGATTTGGTAAAAGAAGGCCATTAGGTCAGTCGGTCATCAGCATCACAGCACGCTGCGAAGCATAGACATAGTGCAACCGCAATGTGAAATTTCACTCCTTGGTAATCGGCAATTCATCACTTGGAGTAGGTCTACAGTATATTTTGCCTCTGGTAAAAATGCTTTCAAATAACAAATATGAAATACTTTAAACTGTACCAGGCTTCCAAATTGACCACCCGTAAGCGTAGGTAGCATTTGCGTTCATGCCTGAAATTGTTGCCTTCTAAAAGCCTAAAGAACGCGTTCTTCATTAAAGGTTGATAAATAGTATCGGTGTAAAAGCCATTTGCCCTACTAGACATCAATCTGTTTATCTTTTGAAAATAACGGATAGAAGAGACGGTTTGTTTGTGTTCCTGACTTCATTTGATAATTAGGAGTCATCCATGTGGCTGTTACTGTTTTGTTCTATTTTAGTACTAGCTATGGCGCAAAGATGATGCCTCAAAATAGTCTTCAGATTAAAAAGCGGGTGGCTAGACAAGACATTTGTCATTGCCTGCATGCACTCGCTTACAAATGGTGATAAAATCTCAAAGTAGCCGCTGAATCATGCAAGGCAAGCGCTCTGGTCAATCTACAGAGTCGACCTCTTAAGGATTAACGTTTTTCCCGACCCATAATAAGGAACACAGCAAGCTGTGTTGATTTTTTACTTCAGGATTCCATCCACCGTGAAGTGCGATTTATCATAATTACTCAAGATCATGCAGTGAAAAAGCGAACTGGGTTGAGGCAGATCCCACGACCATGATAACATCGCGAGCGAACAAAGACACAAATCCTCCCCGTTTATATTGGTTTGTCCTACGCCAAACCACTAGACTCCATCCGCCAGGTATCCAAGGACCTTCGGTGGTAATTTGCATGGAAATTGCTGTCATGCTGCTGTACACTCTTGCATTGTGCTCCCCGTAACGAGGAAGTCACGATGCCAACCGGATGCAACCACACTGCTTCTTAAATGAAAATACACATGGAGGAGAAGATCCATCAACAATATAAGTTAATGCATTTACTGGCGTTGTTTTTTACAAGTAGTTTATTGTTTCCGTTCTAGGTGCGAATTCCAAATTACTACTTCTTCTGTAAAGACTATATCCTTTCAAGGAAAGCCAATTTCTCGTAAGTGATGAAATTGGCTGGTGCGTTGACAGGTGACTGACCATCAATTTTTTTGCAGCGTGCAATAAAATAAACCTGCTTCCACTTTGCATAAAAACGCAACAAAATAAGACTGACTAAGTTAAAAAGTTGAAACAATGAGGAAACTTGTCTAAAACATGACCCATCAACAAAAGCGTAAATAAACGACTATTTTCTTTTCAGCTGAAAGAAACCATTTCGGAAATATGTCAAGCTTGTTACCTGCAGAAACACACGTTACTGTTGATTACCATCACTAAATGTGTCAATAAGTTTATAACTGTCCATTCAAAATAAATTCCGTAACTCAAACAATCACATCTGCACGATGGTACATAATACGCAGCAGTTTGTTCGGCAGACATTGCACGCTTTCTGTTTAGCAAGTTAGCGAGTGTCGTCTGCGAGGTCGTTAGGATTCGTACGGTGTTTTGGAGTTTATTATGTTATATTGAATGTATTACCACAGGTCACTAAAAAAAATGACTTGTCAGCACAAATGAGCGCTGATAGTGCTGACAAACACAGCTCTGATAATACGTGGAAGGTAGTGGATTGCAAACGCTGTTTAATTATAACATGGAAAATGTAGATTGTAAAGATAAATCAAACTTGACTAATTTGAATAGAACAAATTCTGTAAGTGAACTGCCCAAACATATATTTAATAAATTGAATAACAACCATCAAATTTCTTTGGTCATGAACCACGTAGGCAAACATCATTTCCCATTCGTCTAGAGTCCACTATTAAATATTACAACAATCATCTGTTATATGCAATGTTTGATTCAGTGGCGTATCCAGCTTTGGTGTGGGGGGATTCAAAAGCGAATGTGGCCTCGGGCTTACTCAACATGATGTTGGGGAGAAAAAAAATCAGAAGCCTTACTCACGGTCCCGATGTCCTTGCTTTTATTTGCTGTTGTTGTATTCTTAGGGTTTGGACTAATATTTAGTAAATAAATTCACCCATTACTTTCTTTCCTACTCACCTATGAAGTATTCTTTGTAAAAAATAGTCCATGGGGGGCAAGTTGCCCCCTTCCCCCCAGCTGGATACGCCACTAGTTTGATTTAATGTTTGTCGTCAAGAATTTAAAAAAGCTGACCATTAAACACGAATCGTCCAAAATGGCACGCTCTACAATATCAAGGCAATAAATTACGCAGTGATACATAAATCTGATCCAGTAATCCATAGGTTACCGTTTTACAGTATAAACTTTCTCCACAATATTTTTCGCAAGAAATTGTGTCTTCGCATGGAGCAAAACACGTATTGGGTTATACAAAGTACATGTAAACTCCCCTTGCTTGACTAGTTGATTTAGATGCCCCGAGTATAAACTGTGCTGTTAGTGCAGACATTGTGAGTAAATTTATCATTGATTTAATCAACTAAGAACTTTATCACAATTCATTACAATTCATCTCAGCAGAAACAAGTCTCTTCACAATCATTCGTCAAACATTAGCGAACAACTCAAGCAATGCATCCCATTTGACCTTTGGCATTCTCAATCAATATGACCAATCACAAACAGTTTTTGCTTCGTGGTGACTCAATTTGCTTGATTAGTGAGAAACGCTTGGCCATTAATTATACACAGTATTCCAACGTTACATTCATGCAGGGCCTACAAATTTTGTGTCGGTAAAATTAGTCCAGAAAAGGCACGCATAAAACTGGGAATACATTATTTTAATCAAACCTATGTTAAAATCATAACATACACGTAAACAATTTCCTTTTTCAAAATCTGCACTTTATATTGGTGCTTGTGATAAAGTTGGAATGTCCAGTGTACGGTCCGTCTTGGTACGTTTGTTTGTCCATTGTTGGTCAATCATCAAGTCGAATGTCCGTTTGTTTGTTGAGCTGTCACACCGTCTATGTTAGCCAGCGTATGAATTCCACGCACTAAACTTCACTGCCGGCTGTCCAATGTTCTCCTCGTTTATAAATGATTGGTTAGTATCAAGAGCTACATCAGCAAATATTGCGCAAGGAGTACAGTTATATCATTCCCTACATGAATGATTGGCAATGCAGGCGGAAGCCATTGCGGGTCACGTAATGCAGGTCCCCAATTGTATAAACCGGTCAGTATTTCGGAAATCTCGCAGCATAAACCTGAAGGTGTGAACAACATTATCCTTTCCACATTCCCAGGAGACTCACAACCCAAATATGTCTCGTACCGTACCCTTGTGTCTGAAGTGTTATGGGATCGATGCTGACCTTATGCATTCATTCTGACGACGCGTCATTCCGACTTGTCAAGGGGTTCTCTCTGAGGGTTACTTATAAAGACCTTGATGAGATGTTATCCTTGGGGCAGGTTATGGGAACGAAGCGAGGCTATTTTGCAATTTCTTGGCAGCTGTCACGATCACTGCTGAATGACCGATTCGGGAATATGTAGGCTAAATTCATTTTAACTGAGAAATCTCGATCCAACGCATCTGCGTTGGCTCGACGCTTGACGGGGTTAAATTACTTTCAGCAGTAATCAGGTGCTTGGAATTTATGTCCGTCGGCATGTCTTCCTCACAAGCGTCTGAACGTCTCCTTTTCAGTAACATTGAACACTGTAAAGCAAAACGTGGTTGGAAAGGTAAACTATTGTACGTATTGTCCGTGCTTAGAGTCAGTGACAAACAAGAACACTCATCGGATACCAATCGTTTCTGCGCATGTGATATATTCTATTAACGTATTGCCCGTCAAGTTATAATTCTAACCGACAAGGAACCACCAAGTTCAAGCCACAGCGATGGGGTTTCCCTTTCAGAAAAGGCCTGTCACAGGAAAACGTGTTTTGAATTTGGTAATCCGTAGAATTCAATGAGCAATATTAATTACGGCTATCCTAAACTTGTACGATTCATAAATGTGTATTTACGTTGTGCGTGAAGAAGCCGGTGTCAGATTATCTTCTTCTTTTTTTATTTGTACAGAACTAGGGGACACTACACCGCATTCGCTAGCCTGTTGTGCTCAGAAAATAAATTCCTATGTGATGAAACATAAAAGCAGTTTGCATTTGCATCACCATGCTTTGCATATTATCTAACGAAGATTTGTCAGACGCGGATGGGGGGGCTTTGGGGGTCAGAACCGCCTGCTCTGACACCAACAAAATAGTAGTAATGAAAAAAGATGACAAGGGTAAGTGCATCAGTAACAATGCAATGTATTTCCTTTGTGTACACCTGTCTGCAACGATCCGACATTAAAAAAATCGGACGAGCCTGCCCCCTGAAAAATGTCTGGATCCGCCCCTGTTTTTAAAGAATGGCAACAATATTACGATATATACTTTCCTTACAACCACGTAGGCACTTTGTCGTGTTCTTATATGGAAACTAATTTTAAACACTGAAATATCGTATATTAAGAGCCTTGATTTGTCTGATGGTTATTTGAGGGTGGGTAGCATATAAGTTCTAATTACAGATTCCACAGAGGGGTTAAAGGTTACGCGTACCGTAATTTACGTGAGGGTTTAAAGGGATAGCCTACGATAACAAACAGAATAGATTTAGGCAAACGTTTGGATTAGACATTGGTTCTTTTCAAGCTGCAAATGCAATAAATATATCCATTCAATACCAGTGCAATATCCAAATAAGGAGTCACCATACGAGACAACTTGGACCACATTATTTACTGGACGAATACGTTTGTGATTGAAAAACAGACAGTGAGTAGAAACTTCGATTTCAAAATAAAACAAAGCTATTTTACCCATGATGTCAGTGCACAGACCCCACTGGTATATTTCTGATGTTGTACTAGTAGCTAAAAACCGACTTTTGAAGGACAGGATCTTGCTCCAACTTTGAATCCAAACTAAAGAATAAAGTGTGACTGGTATAGTCGTTTGCGTATACACTAGGCCATAGGACCTCCTGTGTTTTGGTCATTAGGCCATAGGACCTCCTGTGTTTTGGTCATTTTCGAGCCAAAGTACATTGCAAAATAAGCGTACAGCCACCAATCGTATAGCATTTAACAAATGGATGTTTTCAGTTTAACGATAAAAATAATACAGATCCTGACCCGACGCATTTCTTGTTTGAAATCCGTAATTTTTTGCTTTGCCATTTTGGTGATATCAGTGCATGTTGACAACAATTACATGACCGCACCACTTTTTTTTTAAAAAGTGGTGTAAATTTAACTCCCTTGCTACTATATCTCCTGCAGTGCACACTGAGAAACAAGAATGTCGATTTTACGTCAGAGTTTTTGCGGTGTAGCGTTGCGAACAATAACGTGGTGTCAGCCATGTCACATGTATATGCCTACATAGGCTGGGCTGGAGGTGGTGTCCGTCGTGGTCCATTCATAACCTCTTCTGCTGAACAACTCCACACTTTCTTGAAACTCTTCTTAAAATTTCCACTCAGAAAACCGTACAACAGTGGATTAGCGCAGCTGTTTAGATAACTTAAACACATGGTGAAGTCAGACACCAGAACCGACCAATGTTGCCTGATTGGTACAAAGACAACGACGGTACGCCACACATAGAACGGCCACCAGCACATGAAGAAAGCCAGCACGACAAAAAACACTAAACGGTTGACCTTGCGTGATTTCTTCATCTTGCCAGTTCTTGCTCCAATCTTTTTAAGTCGCACGACGATACTGGAATAGCATACAGAAATAATGATGAGAGGAATGACAAAACCCATTAAAGACGTGTAGATCATGAAGAGTTTCTGGGTTACGTCGACTGCGTAATCATCGTCACCGAAGACAGCGTTAAAGTTGAAATGACACAGTAAACCGTCGGCGTCGTAACGCGTCACGATGTTCATGGGACTAGCAGCGGCGAGCGCTAATACCCACACACCGATATTAACGCAGATGGCAAGTCGTAAAGTGCGGTAACCACGAACTCTACGAGCGTGGCATACAGCAACATAACGATCCATACTCATTGCCGTTAAGCAAAAAACGCTGGTAAACATATTTAGACCATCAATGGCGTACACCACATGGCACATAACCGGACCAAACATCCAATAATTACCGGCTATAGTGGCAACTGATAGAAATACCAATGCTATCATGAACAAATCATCCGCGATGGCAAGGTTTAAGATGTAAGAATTTGTTACAGTTTTCATCTTGGCGTAGCGAAGCACCACGAAGATTACCGTGGTGTTACCAATGAGACCCATGACACAAACAATTAGTAAAAATACTCCAGAGACAATTCCACCCCAGTATGGCTGTCCTGCTCCGTCTTCGTCATCTGTACAGTTACCTACTGTCAAGTTTCCTTGCGTACAGTTGAAGGAGAAGTTAGGCCATGGGGTGGTGTCATCCATTCTGTCGCCCAGATATCACAGCTGAATTTAGGAGATCCAAACTGTCCGTTACGTTTGACGCCTTTACACTACCGATGCAACTGTAAGATCAGCGCCCTTCCCAGAATGTTTAATAGAGCTGTCTAAATATTCACGTGCGGCAAACTGAGTCTGAATCTTCTCCTATTGATCTGTTCGGTTGATCTCTGATGCTTATTATTGCAGTTCGATGAACACCAAACAGATAGATCGTGTGATATTAAAATGTTGCTGTCTCCTTAAAATGGCAAAATTTACTGCGAGTGAAAGTGGCTTCGATCGTGCAATGCACACACAGCTATTTCGTGCATAACAGGCTCACTGCTCATTTTGTACCACCGTCCATCCTGCCATGGTTCTATGAACAAGAATGTCTCCGCATGCGTCTCAAAATCTTGGAATCATAAGACCAAATAAATCAATTTCGATTTGCAATCTTGTCGTTGACTGCAGATTTAATCAAGTGAGAGAAGTATGGAGTGTGTGCTGTCAACGTGCCAGCACTGTGTTTCTCCCTGAAATGACGGACTAGTTGCCTTATGAATCGGTCCGATGAACTCATCGTTGGCAAACGCATATCATCAGTCACGTGACCTCACGCACAGCGACTCAGTTGAATTAATATTCATTAGATTGTCTACTCTCGTGGCGCTGTCCACCAGATCGAGCGAGTAAAATGGAAATTCGTGATATCCATGATCGTCTGTATCGAGGCAAGCATTTAGTCGGCTTAGAAGTAGATAGTTACAAAGATAAACCGCCGTTATGTACCAACCGAACTGCTTTATACTTACATTGAAAGTCAGTGTAAAAGTGTAAGCAATAATCGGAAATCCTTTGAGCTTTTCGAAACCCTGTGTTTCCAAACCGGAGAATTAATTCTCAGAGACAATAATTCCAAAAGAAAGAAAAGCTTAAAGGGTAGATTGTTCTCCAGTGTCACACAATACGTGTACATATTTCTGGCAATATTTCGAGGTGCGCTAAAGCTAAACAGGGAGAGGTGGAATTATTAACCCATCTTGTTGTGGGCCCATCACGTCGGACTCGTCATTTTTATCCCGAGGAGAATTTTTGGCATGTGCCTCAATTTCGAGTAGTATTAAAAATTAGATACCGGTACGGTAGATGCTCTGCGGGCACGCTAGATCATCAAAAAGGTTGCCAATGGTTCACCAAGATAGGGTCAGGGTACTTTCCGTCAGCGCTGACGATTTATCATTTTGAAATTGGTCAAATATATTAGGGCTTATCAATTTCTGAACACAAAAAGACACGGTGCTTCCTCCGTTGCTGAAGGCTGCAAGTATTACGGTACCCATCTATGATAAATATGTATTTAATCGTTACTCCAAATGAAATTTACTTTAATAGTGGCGAGGCTTAGCTACATCCATCCCATTCGATGCAGCAATCCCTAACGGTATTATAAGTGCAATGTATCTTCATTGTTTCTGTAGCCATAGGACATTTCACAGACTGCAATGCATTGAAGGCAGGTAAAGAATTACATTGTACCGGCTCAGTTAAAATGATGGATGGCGCAAAACAACATCTATCAGACCTTTTCCCAGCGGTAAATTGTTTTTCTCTTCTAATTGTTGTTAGTCACGAAATGTCCCGGGAAATTTATTAATCTTACCATTTACTGGACACAGTGCCTGGTAATCTTTGCATAATGTATTAGTTTGGATAATTCATGAATTCCCACGATGTGATGAAAAGAACCAGTTGTACCTAATGTCAACAGGGTTTTAACATTCAACATATTTTTTTATTCAATCTTACGTGTCATCTTAAACAGACATATCGAAAGTTCATCACGCCATCGCTTGCGACTGACATTGAATGTCACATTGTTACGGATTAAGTAACTCCCTTTAAGTGTTGAGAAAAGAGAGCTGAACATGAGCCTTGTCGGACAAATCTGAATGTAAATTTTAGTTTACTTCCTGCTTAGATTAAGGCTGATTCTGTAAGCCATCCAGTTATCATACGGTGAGCATGAGAAAACAAGGCACGAATAATACACACTGAAGAACTCGAGTCCAATGAAGTCCGACTAAACCACGTTATTACCCACACTGCTTTCTTTCATTGATTTTTTTCTTTCAGTTTTTTTCATTCCAGTCTGTGAGCTGTAATGTAACCTCAGTTACAAAGGGAGCGATGGACTTGAGAAGAAAAAGTAAACCAGACGCAACACACGAATCAATTAGCTTTACAGCAAATATACATCGGGTTTCTTCGTGCAGGCGCTTCAATTTGTTGGCCACGCCACTGTCAACGTTTGTTGTTTCATCCGCTCGGCTGTAGTCGTTGCTCGAATTTATCGGTGGATTTGTTGCGATAGGCCGTCAATACTAAAGCCATTTGTCTTCTCTCCACACGTGGATTGAGTGTCGTGTGGTCTCACTAATTGCCAGCGGCAATACCTGTGTTGCTAAGTGTTGGAATAGAAGCACTCGCGTCTCGTTTTCAAAGAACATTCGTAATTTGTGATGTGTATTCAGATTGTGGTTTGAATCAATAAGTGGGATTATTTGTGAATTCCTTCTTGGGTATTTTTTTTTCTGTTGTGAGATTCCTCTAACCTAATTTGGGTCCAAGACTTCAAGTTGCACTTGCTGATAAGGGATAGTTTTCGAGTGATTTCTAGTGCATGCCCTGGAAACTGTTCTAAGGTTGAAGAAAGAATCGCCTTTTAAACCCTTCTTATTCTTTATGGACGATACGTTAATTTCGTTCCCAACTTTTGATTGTACTTTCCTAATGATTGCTTGCTTTAGTTTGCCTCTGGCAGGCAGAACACCCACATGGATTTACGTCATGCTAATCAACGTTCTCTGCGTCCATTTTCTTACACTAATTTATGTACCAAATAAAGCTGTACAAGAAAGTCAGTTGATGAAAGTCTTCCCTCTGATAACTTCAAGCCTAATTGGACCTACTGTGTGTATGCTCGTTTCCTCTGGATACTTAATGGGCGCTTTAATTATATATTTTTATCCCCACTAAATTAATTGGATTCGTGCGATTACAGATTGGACACTATTTTGAAACTATTTTTGCCGTTTATAGACGTAAATAATCAGCGTATCCATCTGACGAGGGCAGGGGAGGCGCTTGGGCAAGTTACCCCTCTTTACCCTGGACATGTTGCACTTTCATCGCAAGCATTACCACCTGTCTTTTTTGAGGGAATGGGCGGGGAATGAAGAATCCTTTATTGTTAGTAGGACAGAAAGATTTTAAACCCCCCCCCTACATACACCACTGCCAAGATATATAAAGTGTTTTACCAAACCATACCCATGCAAGTAATGTAGGGTTGGTTGGACCAAGCGAAACTTTCTGCGTCATTTCCGTTATACTAATAGATTTATAGTAGATGCTTTGCGCGCAGTGAGTCTACGTATTTAAAGTGTAGTCTCTTTTCAAATCCGGTAAGTTTTACTTCCATGGATTGTTTTGAGAAACATGTTTGGATTCTAGTGATATAATTTTGTTGCTTATACAATTACACATGTACCAAAACATTCTTGTGATTGCCGTAACCTGCTGTTGGCTATATAAGGAGGTATATGGATCATTCCATGAAGTTCGGGCACAGTTTGTTTGTTGTTACATCGGTAACTTTTATTGCCTCTTATTTTCTCATTACCAAAGATTAAGTCATATTATTCAGCAATGATGAAGCACACCACTACAAAAACCTAGCAAGATTTGTCGCGAGGCGAAGCTGAGACCATTCTTGCACGAATCTACAATTCTGATTCTATTCTCTGACTTCTATTCTCTGACTATTTCCCATTGTTACACAAACATGGAGTCCCAAGTCGATACGAATCTACTACAACTGTAGATTTGTAACTTACAAATCAACAGTTTGCTGTAGATTCGTTAAAATAATCTACACTTTGAACAAAGAAGTGACGTCACAGAAATAGTCTAACTGGAACTACGCTAAGGAGTATACTATTACTCCTACAACAGAAACCATGAATCTGTAGTCAGAAATCGTCCGTTTGTTGAAAATGCGATAACGTATGCGTACCCGCAGTAACAAAGGTATTGCAAAGTTCGGCTTCAAAACTGTAAGGATGTTAACAGCATTTTTTGGAAACCCTCTTAATATTCTCCTGTTTCAGAAGCGTTTGCAGCTTGAAATGTTCTGTCAATGATCTCCAAACGATCAGTTTGAGCCGCACTTCGACAGCTGCGTGCATAATACTCGGTTACTCCAAACGCAAGGACTGATTCACTAACAGCCTTTTTAGATTTAAAATGTATTCAGCTGAGAAGCTTGCAAACAAGAACTCCGTGGAAAAAATCTTTAACATGATCGATCTTGCCTCGCACAATGCTTGGACCGAGTTGGATAACTGTTTACATAACGCTCAAAGATTGATTTAGGAATCAGGAAGGCTTTGGAGGAGGCTTGGTTTATTCGTGCTGATGCCAGTGTTGTGAACGAGTTTCTTCAGTACTTGGATTACATGGTTTGTCTGGCGATCACACCACGTTTGGCTGCCATATTTGGTCACGTGGTGCTAAGAAATGGCAGGTTTCACTTCTAAAAAGGATTTTGTTGGGGGTGAACAGCTGAGATTTCGTCGACTCCGAAAAATTCTTAAAACAAGACTTCAAATTCTAAGAGAGGATTAGAAGACAGGAGAGTAGTCAACTTTTGAAGTGGTATACAGGGTGCAAACATTTCAAACTTAAGTAATTACCGGCCGTGAAACGATGTGCACCGGTATCTCTCATGCTACGCAGCCAATTTCTCAAAGGACTTTGACTATTCCTCGACATTGGAGTAATTTGAAAAGATTTGAAAAGCAATCAGAGAGTTGAGGTCGAGAAAACCTGGGAAATCAAGAAATAATCTTACTGGCTTTGAGGTGTCAGCTACCTAGGGTGAATGGATACGGCAAGCGACCTAATGGTTAACGCTCTGAGAAATGTAGGGTGATGCTGTCGATCGTAACAATTTGTGCCACTTAAATATCGTAATTGATGTCAGAAGTTGCAGGATGTGATCTAATGCGTCTAGCAGGACATTGGATTGCTATGGGGGACGTTTGGCTGTAGTACTACCCGGAACTCAAATTTGCAGACTCAGTAGGCCTCTAGATATACATCATCGGTCAACTGGCCATCGTCCATGATCGAAATTGCTCTTTCAGCAAGGAGACATGCAATTCCCATGCTCAGTGGAAACAGTAAGTTAGAACATTGTGAGACATGACGAAAATATCCACACTGGACTGCTTTCTAATAAGTGTTCTTACTGAACCATGTTGCCCACGTGATGCGGCCCGAGTGCGGCCTATAATGTTCCAGCTCTTCTGGAGGATTATTGGAAACCAACTTGTAGGCCTATCCCCCTGGCTGCTGAACTCTGTGATCAGTGGATCTTGTTTGAATCGCAGGGTTAATGAAGATCTCGCATAATTGAACAACGATCTAACGTTTATCACCCAGCTCTTCTATCAAAAAGCATTCTCCTCTACAGTGATTGGATTTTTGTTTCGTCTTTTATAATCCTTAGCAAGACGCAGCTGTGATAAATGACATCTTTGCGTCTGAAGTCTCGAGGTTATCAGAACCACAAGTAGTTATGGTGCAAAAACAGGTGAAAAGAGAGAAAAAAGACAGAGTTTGAGAAGACAGAAAGTTTATCCCATGTAAAATTCAATGTTAACTTTCCAGTTCAAAGCCTCCATGCATGCTTTTCATGTATCGTCATGATGACTTGAGGTCACGCGCGGATCGGAGGATCTTGGGGACGGTTCAAATCACCACCACCCCGCTCTGACACCAAAAATAAATAAATAAAATGTTTACTGACAATTATGGAAATAACAATAACTTTACAAAGATAAATTCCTGTAAGAGTTATTATTTATACATCAGTGATAATATAATGCATTACCTATATCGCCACCTGTCTGCAACAATCTGAACAAACAAAAATCTGACGGGTCTGACCCCCCAATAAATTCCTGGATCCACCCCTGGAGGTAAACAGACTAAGCCGTCAAGGGTATAAACAACTAATATGAAGGAAAATGTTCAATAATTGACCTAAAAGCGGTTCATTAATTGAATTTGTATTGCGTTTGATTCTGTGACTTGAACAGTTCGAAGATTATAAAGTCTCTGAGGTATTTAATATGAAAAATTGGTGTTACATAATTATTATCTATCCTCTTCACTGTCTTTCTTCCCTTTCTTGACGTTTGTGTAGTTGAACATAAATGATGTCACTAAGCACTGGCACTCATATAAAGTCGGTTTACCCAATTACATTTCTATATTAGTAGTGCACGATAGACTAAACCCCAGACTTCGTGGAGGCAACATGAACATTACCTTCTCACGTCCTGGCGCAAATTTGACACTTTAAACGAGCCTGAAAATTTAAGGGCATGTACTAGGAGCCTTCTGACGCAGAAATCGAATGCCTAGTATACCGAAGAAAATAAACGTGTCTGTCTATACACAGACTGTTAATTCGCTGTCTGGAGTGCTTTCTTCAGTCTTTATCCTATGGATGTACTTTCTTTTCCAACATAACTATTTGTAAATTTCCCGAAACAAATAGTAAAAATGACTGTTATGAAAAAGCGACAAACTAAGCCCTGTCAAGTTGTCTTAAGCACTCATTATTAACACTTCTAGCCAAGATTTCGGCTATTCTCAAATGCCTCGGTACCGTACGCCTTGTGTCCTCGTCAAGGTTGGACTTCCGTCAGTCGCCTTTTGCCTTTGATCCTCTCTGCATGCTTTTAGCTCATCTCTGAGGGGAATTCATCTTTGTAATCTTGAGTGAGTAGTGCTTGGCTGCCTGGACGTTCCCTTGAACTGTTTCCGTTGGATTGCCCCGGCAGTATGACAAGGCACGGTCACTTCATTTGTCATCCCTTGAAGACAAACCTGTCCGCAACTAATTGCACGTCTCAACAAGACGCAGTGGGATATAGCAGACACAAAAAATATATATATACATTTCCAGATTGAATGCTGGACTTCATCCGATGTTTAGTGGAGAAAAAAATTCTCAAAGTCAAAACTAATCAGCCTTTTTTCCAGCTTTGTTGGAACTGTGCCGTCGGTTTTCAAGATGGGAAATATTTTCAATAAATTATTGTTTACGGCTGTCTGCGACTCCACAATGATTTCACAAGTATATTTCTCTTGTTTACTCATCTGGGAAATATCTATCCTTATTATGAAGGTAATCCAACTCCTCGTTTTTTGTAATGCAATCAATAATGATTGCCTGTTTTGCCACAAAATTTCCCTTGTCGATGATATTAAAATTGCAAAATAGGTACAGTCGCCGGCCGACGTGTCTCGTGTGCACTAGGAAATGCCACCATTTTGGTTTTGGGGCAGAGAAATCATGTACTAGCCGTCAAATTAAAGTTGATAGTGACTTGAAAATACCAACTTAATCTTAGCAGAAGTTCTTTTTCTTGGGTTTCTCAAATCTTGGAACGTTTGGAAATATAACGGCATTGCTTAGAATTAATGCATTATTTTGCATGCAGATTGGTTTTTTTGAAAAAGGGACTATTCTGTAGCTTTGTTGTGAAAAGAAACGAGCCTTGTTACCAATGCTTGGGTATTATGGCCTCCACTGAATGACAGAATGGTATCTTTCCTCGCTTGTTAAAGTGAACTTGATTTGCTTACATTCATATGGGAATATCATTGTCACCGAGCGTGGCAATTTTCTCTACCTTCTCGCTCAAACCACGCAACAGAATCCCTGAGTCAACATGTTGTCGAGACGGATCACGTCCGAGGGGAATGTTACACCTCTCGTTCCGAGGAAATACAAAGAGTGTCTTCATAAGATTGATTTTCAGCCTGACCCACGGGCTTAGCACATTTCCATCAACTGGGTGAAATGTTGACATATGTCATGTATGACATTTTGGTAAGCGCCAACAGCAGTGGCGTTTCCGAAAACGAAAGATCGGAGACCCTCTTCTTTCGTCCATGCATGCACAAAAATTAAGCTCCTAGATTGAAGCATACCGTTTAGTTTTGTTGAAAGATAGTTTGCAACATTTTATTCAGTCCCGGTATCATAATTTATACGTGTTTACATGTATATCCTACACAATCTATATACACGATATGTGTGCAGCATAGGTCTTCAGGACGCCAGAATGTGAGGGTATCATTTGACTTCTCTCGCCATCACAAAAAGCTGCCTTCCGTTTCTGCTCTCAAGAAAATGTTTGACTGGAGGGAGGGACGGAGATCAATCAAGTTGAAAGCCGGCACACGTGATGGGATTGCAAACAGGATATTATGAACATAATTATAAGTCATGGTGTAATGCAGCCTGGCCTGTTAGCAGATCGATGTTGGTAAGATAAAGATGGAATACAGGATAACTGTTCTGATCGGATATAATGTTGAAAAGGCCATGACGCCGGTTACTTTATAGATTACCGGTAGTTTGCACTTTTGTCTTCCACCAGCAAATTTTCAGTTTACATTTTTGTATGGTCGGTCTGTCAGTTTAATTCTGCCAGTTTCGGAATATTGAGTTCTATAGCAAAATTTAAAAAACGCTTTGTTCTTAACTGGTCGGCAAGGAAGGCCACAATGACCCCTGGGTATGATGTTCAAAAGCAGCAAGAAGTGGGGTGAGATAAAATATCCTTCACAGACACAGACAGTTCTACTGCGGTTAAGATGTTGGCGGCAGCTTTGCAGCCCCGCTATCGTTGATGGAGCACACCCAAATTATCAGTGTCCTTTGTGCCAGCTTAAGCAAAAATGTTTCGACTGAAAAAGAACTCTGCAACTGTTCTTTGACTCTGTCGGTTGCTGATCAGTGGCGTGATATTACAAGGTGCACCTCCCATACCCGCCCCCCCAGCGGATGCCTGTGTCCCCCCCCCCCCCATTTTTTCCGTTGAGATGCAGCTACAGGTTATTTCTTGTGTGCCCCCCTTGATTGAAATGTGTGTACCCCAGGTTGCTCCCCGCATGTAGCCCTAGCAACGCCACTGGTGCTGATACGGTGCTTAAAAATCCAGATAGGGCGAGTGTGGTACCGTAGCATCATCACGGCCGAAATATGGCGGTTTGGTTTCGCTGTATGCCGCGTCATAAAAGGAAGATCAAGAAAAGGCATTGCACTTGAGGGCGCTATCCATAAACGCTGTGGATCAATATGTGATCGGACGAGCTGAGAACTAGACGCTGTGGCGTGCGTATATATCCATGCAGCGCAGCTGGCTCTCAGAGACAAGAATTGCCAATAAGCCAACTGCCCTAACAAGCTTTGGCCAGGGTTAATCATTACATTTGCTGAAAAGTAAGTTATAAGTAAGTCGGTTATATTTAGAAAAAGTTCCATAATACAGACGCCCCTTGACACCCTTTGAGACTAGTCTGAAAATGTTTTAGTTTTCTGCCCTCACGTTAGGCCTACCTTGGTTTTGGCAATTAATTAAATGGCATTGCTTAGTTACAGATACTAGATAGGCCTATATAATTGCTTCCATATGTTTCATAAATTCTAAAACCATTTTAATTTGGACGGAGGCGTGCCACCGTCCCTCTGCTGCAAGAGGGGCGGGCTTGAGTCGTAAGGCGCCCAAAATGGACAGAGTGGATGCCTTCTCTGTGTTCTTCAACGTTCAGGTTCCTACATATCCCAAGGCGAAGTCCGGCCCAACTCTTCCTCTGTTCCCTAGAACTGTGGGGCCTGACGTCCGCGCCCCGGTAGCGGGGCAGACGTCGGACCCCACAGTTCTGGGGGTAAATCCTGCCCAACATGCCAAAGGCAATCAAGTTGGTAAAGCTGGGTTTTAATTTAATATTTTTTTTTTTTACATAGGCCCTGTATGGGCTACACACATGACATCCTCGGACAAACATTGGGTCGGTTAGTATAGGCCTACTTAGCATTTGTAAAATTCGAACTGTAATAACCCTGATAGGCCTAACACTATACGTAACAGTGAGTTCAAAGTCCTGTATTACTGTTACATAAAATCCAATCGTTGGCCTGCCCTGCCCTCGTACCTTAGCACAGTAAACTATGAAAGGTTGAACAATCATCCTCCACACAATGACTACCACTGGTACCAGGTGTTCACACATTTTCAGTTGACAGCAGTTTCTTTTTGTGTTCTGAATAACTTAAGTGACCGTGAGCAGTAAGTTATATTTCATCATGGTTCATTTTTCTTGTACTGTTGCAGATATGTAGGCACTTTATTTTTGTCTACTCAATATGAATACTATGTGACAGTTTAGTTTTTGCAGGTATGTCTGTGTAGACATTTCTGCTTAGAGAGATAATTATGAGCTTAAGGCTTGATCTGTGTCAACACAGTTTCCCACAGTAATCCAGACTTAACACTTATACAGGAAAAGGAAGGAAGACCGTTTGTAAAGACAACTGCAAGCATTTAAATGACTTCATTGCTTTTAAAACCAAGGTAAGTACTGCATATTAATTTCTTCAGCTTTGACATCAGTATAAATTTTACTATCATATTAGTTCTGGATTTACTTGAAAATAATGAGTTTATCTAAAAAAGTGATGTTCGTACATGTGCCACAATAGTAAGGGGAGCATTAGTTTGTGACTGCCCAGTTTGAGCTAGTATTTGAAAAAAGAGAATGTCATCATTTGCCATGAAAAGAAAAGCATAGCACCCAAGTTGGAACTGCAATATATAGAGGACGTGTTTTGCAGAAACAATTTTGTTCATTACTTCTTCCTGACTTGCAGCGAGAATATAAGACATCATGAGTTCTGTGGACGGTATTGTTGAACAGGATGTCAACAAGAAAACGAGTGATAACGGGGTGAGTTTAACAAACTTGGTATCAAGGGTGTGCTTATTGGATTTATTGAGATTTTCAACTAAAAATTATCTGTCAAAATATATGTACATGGAGACACCAATATCTAAATCCACCATGTTGTTTCCTTGCTTGTCTGGAAATGGAATGTAGGATACATTTGAAAATCGTAAAAATTCATTGATTTAAAAATTCTATTCAAACTGGAAGTATGAATATTGTTTATTGAAAAATACACGTGATTAAAAGTTGCATTCCTAGAGGAGTTCTGCATTGTTGATTGAATAGAAATTTAACAGTGATTTGTACATTCTTGTACAGTGTTTGTATTTCGTTGAGATCTGTAGGTTTCTCTGTTTTTTAATTCCAACAGTCCTGGCTAAGACGTCATGATGTCATTGCTTGGTTTCTGAATATTCTTTTCCTCATTGCTGTCTTGGGAGGTATGTTTGGGTTTGGTGCTCTTCGGGGCTGGAATGCAAACTCTGGCTGGACCCACAATGAGAGTTTGACATCGGAAGAGCGATTCTTACCTGAACCATTCATCGAAGAACCTGGTGTAAAAGGGCGTTATGGTGCTGATGCATCTGGTCGTTGGTATTATTGGAAGCTACCACCAGATCAAGTTACAGCATTGTCCAGGGCTGCTGTCTGGCTGTGCTATTCTTGTCATCAGTTGCTTATGTGGGGCTGTATCTTCTATGGTCAGAAAAAGAAGTTAGTTTGGCAGTCTAGTACAGCGCCTCGTTACTCTGGGAAACTGGAAACCTTTAATTATGTGGCACTGACTGTCAATGTTGTGTTTCACCTCTTACATTTTGGGCAAACCCACTGGACATATGATGCAACAGCACAAGATGTCTCAGTTGCTAGCTCTCAGAGCTCTGTCATCATGCTGATTGTTCTGGTCTTGGTGTTAGAATACCGTGATCGAGGTCTTGCATTTGGTTGGCCGACCGTCAGAAATACAGATCGTGTTAGTCGGTTCCTCCGTCTTCCTAATGGTACAGTGAATCTTCTACGCAAGTACCACGGCTATGCCTTTGCTTGGGCAGCTATCTATACCTTCTGGTATCATCCCATGGAGAATACCTGGGGCCATGCTTTTGGCTTTGCTCATACCTTCATCATCATGCTCCAAGGTAGTCTGATCTATACCAACATGCATTTAAATCGTTATTGGCGTCTAGTCTTGGAATCTTGGGTGATTATCCATGGTAGTATCGTAGCATCTCAGACAGGTGGCCCAGATCTCAATGGTACCCTTCTTTGGCCAATGTTTTGCTTTGGTTTTCTCTGGATTTTCACCATGACACAGCTTTATGGACTTCCATTCTGGAAGAAGCTTCCAGTCTGGGTTCGACCGACACCCTTTGTAGTGTACCTAGCAGCAACCATTGGGGTATACTCTACTCTTCCTGATCGTGAGGGACGCTACTGGGTGAGATTAAATGAGATCATCCGCATTCCAGGCATTGAGTACCTTGCTGCATTATTTACTTGGATTGTCATTGAGTTCTTCTTATTCATTGAAAGAAAGGTACGAGGAAAATTCTGGTTTTTGTTAAAAAATCTTTAAAAATTAAAGAGTTGTGAGAATGAAATGTATTCATCTTAATATATCTTACAGTTTAAGAACACAGATGTCCAAATTTAGTAGCAGACACATGTATGTGTAATAAATTGGACTTTATTTATCTACCTGTGAAATAAGAATTAGACTTTGATTTTGTTCTTTTATCAACCGATTTCTCAGTTCCAGAATGAAAATATACGTAAATAAGAATCCTGCCCAGCAACATTATAGACTTGCCTTATAGTTTGCTCATAATTTTGTATCATTTATTATGCATATGTGCATGAAAGTTTTCCCTTAAATATATTGGTGCTTTTCCACATTGAAATAACATCAAAGTAAAGAGATATCTTTTATTTTTTTCAACTAGGCTCAAGGCAATGGGAGACCAGACCCACTCAGCCCAGCACTTGAAGCTGTATATATCATGGCCGTTCTCTTTATCTATGTCTTGATGGTAGTACTTAGCATTCTCATCCAGACTCTAGACTTCCAAATTCCTTTATTTGTGCTGATGGTTATTCTTGTCTTCATCTTTATTGTGAGTGTATCTGTTTCCAATATGTTGTTGAAGCAGTGTTTCCGTCGACCTGCTGGTAAAGCTACAGTGGCACCTGACGATGATAAGAAAGACATAGCCACAACTACTTGTGATACCAGTGAAGAAGAGAAAGGCATGGAGAATTTAGCACTTGAGTAGAGGAATTTGAGTGGTAGAAAAAGTAAGAAAAAAATCACTTGAAAATATAATTCATTGTAGTTACAGTGTAGTTTTGTATACTGTTTTTGGTCAGATTTATGCCTTGACATTTCAGAATTTTAATTTTATTCCCTTGTGTAAAGCACTTACTAAAAACAGGTTGGTAATTCTAGTCATAATTTATTAAGTAGAAATTAGGAAGAAAATTTTTAAAAGTGTAAAGTATAATTCCATTTTATGATGTAAAATTTGTCTTTCATGCAGAAATGTTAATGGCTGTATTTCCAACTTGGTTCTCAGGACTTGATTAAATTTGATACTTCTGCAGGATGACCAAATGTTGATATTTTGTGTATACTGTTAGTGCAGTGAAAAACTTAAAATTGTTGGCTGCCATGTTTAGTTACTAATGTGTAACAGTTCAATATTCCAAAAAGTATATTTTGTGTAAATTTGTTGTGATTGTAACGTGCAATCATTCGGGTATAGATATTAATTTGTATTGCATAAAAAAGAAAAAAAATTACAAAAGCTCTTAAATTTTCTGGGACGAATTCTCAGCAAGAAATACTACATGATGTTTCACTCAAGGGATTTTACTGTAGATGTTCTTGTGGTCATTACATCTGTTAGATTTAGCTTGCTTCTTTGTACATGGGTAATTCCAGAAATCAGGGGTCAGATTTATTTGTCTGACATATGATTTTGTATTAAAGTATATTATTATTTTGGGAACTGATATGCCATTATGGTTCTGGCACTTTGCATTAGCAAGAAAAATTGGGCACTGGGTTCTTTGGTGCAGTGAACTTCAGTTTTTGGTGAATAGTATATTTAGTTCTTCACATGTTTGTGTTGAAAAACAAATATACCGTCAGTAGCCACTAAACTTCCACATAAGGTATGTATTTTAATTATGACCTTGTACACGCTAATGGAAGCTAGACTCATGGTCAGTTGAAACTATTCTTCAGCAAGCAGTGAAGCTGATCAGGGTATTACAATAATTTTTTGGGGGGGATGCTGAGCCTTACTAATTCTAGTACTGCTTCCTTGATAAGCATTGAATGCTAAGGGCTAGTTCTGGGCTGACCCTTTATCAGCACAGGACACAAATATTTTATCTTGATTTACATACAATCTGCTCCTGCTACCCACTGATGTTTTTTTTTGTCCAGAGTCAGAGTTGCCTTTTCAATTTGTCCTTGAGGAATGCGTACAAATGGAATGTGATTTATTTGTCTATTGTGTTCCTTCTCACATGCAGGAAACAAAAGAACTCTCCAGGTTTTCCCATGACACCAGTCTGAATACCTTTCGTTGACCCATTTACTTATCAGTTAGTTGTCCAGTTCTTGTGCTCTGTATAGATTAGGAAATTGAACTGCACCAGTTGTTGAGGCTGTTTTGAGGTAACTGCTGGCATTATGCCATCAGTTGACTCCCCTAGACCAAGAGATGTTAGTGCACGGAGATGTGATACCTACGTCACTGTTGTACTTTGAAAGTCTATGACGCCATCTTCACTTGCATGTAAAAAATCCCACAGAACCACTCACAAATTGTTCCACTTTTGAAACTGAACCTTTTATGTTATACACAAAGAAGCAAAATGAAAACTACAGTTGAGTAATCATAAAGATTTTATTTTATGCAAACAGAAGGCACATGTATGTAAGTTCATGGACGGAATGTAGTCTTGCTAGTTGTTTCTTTGTGGGAAATGTAAATTATAATGCATATTATTGTGAATATTAGGCTGTGTCCAAATAACTTGGCTACGGCCAGAAATTACACATGAGTCTATGGCAGTGGCCGCGGCCAGTTCCCATTAAGTCATGTGTAAATTCCAGCCATAGCCAAGTGATTTTGACATGTCCATAGATATCTCAGGCAGTACAAAGCAGACTAGAATCAAATAGCTTACAACATTGGGAGAATGCACAATAGAACTTTAGTTTACAAGTATATAGTTTTCTAATAGAATATGAGAACATGTACATCCAAACCACCTGTTGCTTTTAAACCTCAAAGTTCACACTACTTCAGTAATTGATGAATTTATGGAGAAGCCAGGAAACCAAAGAATACAATGTGAAATACAAACATGTATTACAGCCAACAATTCTATATACAACATCCAACTGAAATATCAGTTAACCATGCCTCTAATGATTGGAACCACTGTTAAAACACTCATTGTAAAAGTTTAAATGTACACTGTACCAGTATTCAGTGTGGTCATGTATAATCCTTATTGAAGCAAGAAGCTGTTTTCTAAGGTTAAACTCAGACAGGCTGTAACACTGTATTCACCAAATTGCCTTGCTCATGTACTCACTGAACTGCCTTACAATCAAAAAGATCATCTCTCTTACCTGTATATTCTACTGCAATGTATTTTTCCATCTCCACTCTTTGTATCTTGCTTGTCATGACATTTTTCAATGTGCATACTAATACTAAAGATGGTCAACGTAAATTTTAATTGACAAAACAAACGTGGTATTTAGTTAATTACGATTTCTCCTGTTTTAACAATTGTCACAGATTATTTTTCAGGGATGAAGCAGGTCATTTACAAATGTTTGTAAAATAAACTGCCTTTGTGTGATGTCAATGAAAATATACAACTTCCCCTTGTCTTTTTGAAAAAAAAATGTCTAGTGCCTGTGATATATTAACCCATCATATACAAAGCCTTCAGGGGACAAGACCAAGATGTTAGTAGCGTGAGTGTTCAGCGTTCCACTTGGACCAGTGCAGGAAATGTACGCATGCGAAGACGTTCAACCTCAGCTCTTAACACAGCAACTTCCTGAGCTTGTGCTTTAGCTAAATCGACCAGCTTCCGTCGCTGAACAATGTCCTTCATACGCTGAGCTGAACCACCAACATTCCGCATGGCAGCTGTCAAAAATGGAAGGAAATGTATCACAAATAAGAGTACGTATTTATTTGTTCATTTATGGATTTTCCTAACTTGTAGGATTTGTTTTAAAATGCAATGGAAATCATATTCCCTCAAATGATATACTGTCATGGCAATTTCTTGGTGTAGTTAGCCATCCCCCCCTCATTACAATGTGTGGACCTAGTATCCGACATCATTCTATCCATTCCCAAACTGGGTGTAAAATCCAATCCTGGTGTTTTTTTTCCCTCACCATTGACTTCATTAATGTGTTTTCTCTCAGCCACTGATACATTCATCTCTTCCAAGTCGTCATCCAGCCCTGCATTATTCTTCTCTTTGCTCCATATCGTGTGACGTAAACCTCTTAAAGTCTTCTTCCGTTCTTCAACAGCCTTCTCATGATGCTGAAATGCCGAAACACAAACCAATCAGACATTAATATTCATGGTGGGTAACTAGGTATTACGAAGCAAAGTGTGACTGAAATAGTTTTCACTGAATGAGTAAGGATCTGAGAACAAAAGCAGAAACAGAAAAAATTTCTCACAAAGCTTGACTATTTATGGCGTCGATCATGGTTTGACAGATTGGATATTTCTGTTCTGTAAATAAAGTATTGAAAGAGGAGCATTTGTGAAAAACACTCCTTCATTGTTGCCAACAGGTGTAATCAAACTTACTGATCGCTGGTTCTCCAGAGTTGACTCCAACGTAGAGATCTCTTGTTGTCGTCTGGCTTCATGGTCTTCACTATGAAGAAACTGTCAACAAAAGATGCAGGCTCATAAATGACACCGTGAGAAAGCAACGGACACATCACAAGGAAATTTCAATGGACTTTCCTCAATATTGATACATAGTCATCACACATAACTGACAGAAAGGACATACATGCAGGTATACACCACTGACAGTCTGACACATGCTAATACCTGCATTCTGGAACCATGTCTTCCATTTTGAATGTTTATCAGAATGAAAATGATAGCCTCTACTCAGCTCGAGGCTGATACCAATCAGTCATTCAACATCAAAAGTTCTGATGACAAATCCACAATAAAGACTTGACAGTGTTATCTTCTCTACAAGGGAAGCATTAAAAGCCCACGTACAGTTTGAAGATCTCTGGAGACTTTGAGCATCTGAATGGTTCTCGCTTTGTTCAGTAAATCTTCGATCTGCATCACCATCTTTTTGTGCTCCCTACAAGAAAATAATTAACCTGTTAACATGTTCAAATAAAACCAAAATGTTGACATTTTTAATTAAGGTTAATAGTACAATCTATCCACCATTTGGAATAATGAAATTCTGAATAATCTATATTTAATCCCTGTTCACAATAATTTTACCACCTTGTATCCTACTTACCATTCAAGAATGTGAATTCCCTTCCTGAAATCTTTGCTCTCTGTCATAGCTGCAATCTTCTGTTCGCCAAGTTGCTGACGAAAAACAAGCCATTCAACTTGATTTTTATCATTTAAATAACGAAAGCTTTAATGGTCTGGAACAATTATATGCCTTCAAGACTCGATGACAGTACCAGAAAGTATCGCTGGTGTCAATAGTCTGCAATTAGTACCTCAATTGTTATCCTTTGCAATGAGTACATATCCTGATGGATCAATTCTGATCATTAGCTACCCAAAACATTGAGAAACTATCACTGAAGTCAGCGCACTAAAATGATTACATACCCTAATGGATCCATTGAGATCCTCTACAACTCCTCGATGGATCAAGATACTGTCACTGAAATCATGAATGAATGGTCCACTGTCCACTTCTACTTGACCTTGCTTCAACAGGAACTGTACATCCAGGTTACAGTTAAACTGAAAACGCTCATCTCGAAGCCTGTAGAAATACATGACGTTACTTAACATTTCAGCACCAGCTGTCAAAGTGGACACTATCATCAAGCTGAGGTGTTACCCTATTTGGACAGGCTGTATATCACAAACCTTGTGAAGTCTGACCAATCACAAGGCTTGTTCTAAAAGCCGCAAAGCATTGTTTCCATGACAGAGTGCTTTTCTTGAACGTCGGAGCACATGAACCAAAACACCAACCAGAACATTGTTTGCAAAAATTTGATTGACTGTGCAAAAAAAGACCATTACAGACATCATCTATACATTCTATCTTATCGTTTGTACCGATGCGATAAGAAATTCACTGTTGCCAATTTGAGATGTATAACATTAAAGTTGGATGAAAATTTCTGTATTTGGTGATGACCACTGAAACATAGCAAGTAGGGGTACGGCCCGGAAAAGGTTAATATACCCATATGTGATAATACTCCTGTCTGATCATGTAGCTTTCTATAGATTTATTTCAGCATTCATTTATTTCACTCTTGCTATTGCACATTTCATCAAAGAAATTTTGTTTCACCTGTTGAGAGCTTCGTTAGTTTCTTCAATCTCACTCTTCAATTTGTCATCTTCTTCTTGTCGATGTTGCAGGAAGGCATTCATGTCGGCTAACGTCAGAGCCTGAACCTTGACCTGATCAACAATCACAAGTATGTGTCATATCTAGTCATAAAGTCAGTATCCTATCAGAATTGATTCTTGAAATTGCACACTGACAACTATCTAGCAATCACTTTGTCCTTAGACACATACCTCCTGTTCACTCAGAACTTTAGTCCTTCGTAAATTACACAATCTAGTCCAAATGTGGGGTTCAATTCCTTCTGGACAATGCGACTCATGATCAAGCTCGTCCAGTCCTTTCATCAACACAACTGTTGTGTTGGACTGCCTTGCCGACAGAGGGCGCTCTCCGTATGGATTAGAGGGGCCTCCGGGGGTTTCTGATATAGATCCCTTGTGGTCTCTTCGCTGGCCTCTGAAACCATTTAATTCACACATGTGAGTGACTCAAATTTAAACACAAGTGTTTGAAACCCAAAGTTGAAGTGTTCTAAAAATCAAGTTCCTCTTGAAATAGTTCACAGTACCCGCTGTTACATCTGACTCGGACTGGCTAGCTGACCCCAGCAAGCTCGGAGATTGCGTCATTAAGATGTCTGCACTAGTAAGCAAGAGGTCATGGGTTCGAGTCCCAACCAAGTAAGCTTGTGATTTTTTTTCATAAGCTCTCAGACGAGCACGGAGTATACAGTGTTTATGAATAAGGGTAAAACCTGTAATTAAACTTAATTTCCTCTTTCCTATTTGTGGCCAAGGTTCACATCCCACTCAAACAAATGCTGCCATGCAGTGTCAATTCTGACCTACCTTGGCCTCCGACGATACAACTTGAACAACTGATCAACAAGCACAGCATGAACATCAGGAAACTCTTTGCGAAAATTCTTCTCCAAGACTTTATCTTCAGCAACCCGGATGTCGTAAGTGTCTCGGTAAGAGTCCACCATACGTTTGGCTTTCATCACAGCTTGCACAGTTTCTGCCTGAAAACAATTTCGAATAACAAATCATTCATCCCTGTGTCCAACAATGCATTTACATCAATCAAGCTGACGGTCTGAAGTCCCAATGTGACTTCAGTTTTCAATTAGAGACGCAATGTGAACTAAGAGACCAGTTTGAGATGGTGGCTGAGTGTGCTTGCCTTACCTTCAGAGCTTTCTTAGTTTCCAGTCTACGATTCAATTCCTCCTCCTGAGCATCCAACTCCTCTTCAATAAGAAGCTCTCGATTCAAACGTAGAATCTTCAGCTCTTCCTACGCAAAATAATTTATAAGATAACAAGTTATAACAGAATCACAATTATATAAGTCAAAATAAGGGTGGCATGTGGCCCACCAATAAGATTTAAGAACATGCACTTGTATCAAACGTTTTCAAGCAATGAAACACACCACTGGTTTTACCTGATAGATGACCATCTCTGTCTTAATCTTACGATGGAACAAGTCTGTCAGACGATCATCAAAGTTGGAAGTTGTGTCTGCGATGATGGTCTGTATCTTTTTCAGCTCAGCTTCAAGGGTCTAGAATCGTGAGAGAAAAACAGCTGGATTGATTGAAACTGAATCATACTTTCGTATTTATGTGGCTGTTTTGCGTTTTCATTTAATGACTGAACTTTCATTTGAGGACCGGCAGCAGAATAGCAAGTCTGTGAATAACAAAAGTCTGATTAACAAGATTTTATACAAGTCTGTGATATGGTCCATGTATTCCCAAATAATTGAGTACACTTCACCTTCCTATATTTCTCCCTTTCTTCATTGAGCTCCTTGACTTTCCTCTCATACTCCTTGTGTGCTTTTTGTTCATCTTCGGACCATTCTTCTTGTGCTTTGGCCATAAAGGTTGGAATGGGGATGTCCTGATGGGTACAAATAATTTCATCATTAACTTGTAATGGGTTGTCATTTATACAAACTTGGAAATTCTTGTTAACCA